TGTGTGATATTTGACTGATTGCAGAAATATACTAGTTACCTGATTACAACATTGATCATATCATCTGTGACTTCACCTCTTGTGCATCATTTAGATTCTCAGACATTAAGATAGAGTGTCCACCTTGTGGCTTCCTCATGGTACATGCCCTAGTAGATGTACTTGAACATCTTTTGCATGCTTAAGTTTGACCATTTGGCAAGTATGCATTCCAACTGGATATTGCCATATCTGTTGAACCATGTTTGAATCTTTCTGACACCTATGTTTATTCACTGCTTTTACTTTGGTTACAGTTTAGCTCATAGTGAATTTCATGTATCTCTTTGCAAATTAGCTACATCAGCACAGCTGTACATATATCCCACATCAAATTAGCTCATAGTGAATTTCACCTATGTTTAACACAATGTTTATCAAGTTCTTGTCACATTGGAATTCTAGTTTATTAGTGCTTAATTATGCTTGTTAACTGTTACAAGACCTGATCGTCTTGTCTTGTCTTAGGAAACTGATGTTGAGAAACTTCAACAAAGAGATTACTCATCTCTAAAGGTTTGTTCATCTTTTTCTTCCTCTTCACAAAAGAGGCTGGTTTAATTCATTTGGAATTTAAACAGATTTCTACTATTCATACCATGAGAAAGCATGCAGGACATCAGTTTGCTGCGTTTTCTTGTTGATATGCGCGGTGTTGACGTCGATGACCATCAGGTAAATTCTGCCTGCCTTTTTTCATGTACCTTCTCTGTTTCAGCTGGATGCTATACATAAATTTCTAAGCAGTTTTACACTTCATTCTGTAAAGTATTTCTGTGATGTCTGTTTATAAATAATTATATATTTCTATAGCTTAGGGATGATCTCATGACCATGCTTATTGCGGGACATGAAACAACTGCTGCTGTGCTTACATGGTCGGTCTTTCTACTTGCTCAGGTATATTGGTGTTTTTGTAACTAGTGAGACCTTGCTTTACTAAGTGTTTCTTATTGTAGACTTTTCTGAAGGGTAGATTTTCTCCCGATGCAGAACCCCTCGAAGATGAGGAAGGCCCAGCTGGAGGTAGATTCCGTTCTTGGTGAAAAGAAAATAACCCTCGAATGCCTAAAAAAACTGGAGTATGTGTACAATTTGTTACAGTTCCAAGTTGTTAGGATCAATATAATATTGCTGTATATTTCAAAATATGTATACAATAATAGGTTGAAAGAAACCAGTCCCTTTTAAAATGAGACATAAGTTGATTTTCTATTTGTTAGTCTTTTAGGAGCTCCTTTGTTAGATTCTTTGTTTCTCCATATATTCATGCACATTCAAAATATATTCATTGCTTTTGCAAATTTTATATTTTGGAGAAAATGATATGTAGTCAAACAACATAAAATTACTTCAAATAGACTATTTTGTAACTAAAGTTCCTTTAGTTTGAGGAGCAGCAGCCGAATCATGATGGCTAATCCATTTCAGTCACCTGTATGGTCATTTGTTCTCACTGTTTGGTGATAGAATAAAATATATCCATTTCCACAGTTGTATAATACAACTTAATTAACTTATACATATGTTTAGTGCTTCCATCACTCTAGCAATATTTCATTTTATAGTAGCTTCCACGTATGGTTACTATATACAGTTATTTTTTGTCATGTTTTTGTTAGGTTTTCTGTTAAGGGTCATTAATAATTTAATATCATAATTATTTATTCTTTTCTTCCTTTTAAATAATATCATGATCATTTGTTTTCTTATACTGTTTTAATAACTACTATGCCTCCAGATATATACGGCTTATCGTTGTTGAAGCTCTTCGTTTGTACCCTCAGCCTCCATTACTTATTAGACGTGCTCTCAAAGCAGATAAACTGCCTGGTACTTTCTCTTTCTTGTCAATGGAAAAGTCAGATTTTTTTAGATGATAGACATAATAAGTTCAAGTAAAGTGCACACTGAGATTTACATGAACCTAGACCATTGGTAGCATGTACTTACTTTTATGAAGAATGCGATAAAACTATAAAAGGCAATGCAGAACCAATATGTCTAATTTTCTCAGAAGTCTATACTTGAGCATCTGTCAAGTTTGATTGGTGGATGATCCACCTATAATTTCAAGTAAAGCCAAATCACTGAGTGTTGGATCTTTAAACCAGGAATGAGCTTATGATGTTGTATAGGAGTTGGATGGGATCAAATTGGTTGACCTGACTGATCAAACCTTTTATTTTTAACGGTCATGAGCAGTAACAATTGTGATGGAGGATAATTGCATGCGTTGGAGTGCGGAGGTTTTAATGTATAATTTGTTCTCTTTGTATTCCCATAGTGACATATTGATAACAGTATCTGGTACCTTTTTTAAAAAAATAGAATATATTTTCATTATATTAAATGGCGTACATGACGCTCACATGTGGACTCGGATCTGAGATCTATCACTTTGTGCAATAATACACTAACCAACCCGGATGTCTCAACAGAGACACAGTATCATGTACTTGGATATATAGCTTCTGTACAGAGTCTTATGCTGTTCTTCTATACTTGTTAAAAGGAGGATTTATTCAGAGCAGGAACAATCTTCAAGAAAATAGAGGGGTGCAAGGTAGAATAGATTCAAGAAATAATATGTTGTGAAGTGATACACAAGGAAGGTTAGTGCTTTGTATTCTAGAACGATGATATGCAAATTATATCTAAGAGAAAATTGATATTGCACTTAATGGATATTGCACTTAAAAATATCAACAACACTTAATTCTGCTTCATTTTGAACAACTACTTGGTTCCTTTCCCACCGTGGCTGCCGATTATGATGAGCACTGCTGGGTCATGTTCTGGTAGAGGGTCATTTAAGAATGTCTTAAATTCAAATATAACTACATTCACTTCAGTGAAAATTAACATTGCAGATGGTGAAACAAACCCTTAAATGACAGTAGTACATTTTGTGGTATCTATTACAAGTACTGCAAAATTAAGATAGTTTCAGCATCTAAGGTCAAATTAGTCATGATCTTCTTGTGGTAATGGTGCATTTTATCTTGATAGCTGTTTTAAGCTGCTATTCACATAAGTTCTCAATCAGTTTTGTTAATCAGATTTGATTCTGTTAGTTTGAACTTGCCGTTGTTGTACACATCTTTAATTTTCAGGTGGTTATATGGGTTGTGATGATGGTTATGCAATTCCAGCAGGGGCTGATATATTTATCTCTGTGAGTGAATCCACGATGTAATAGATCTTTGCTGCAATAACTGAACTACTGCATGATTTTGCTTTCGATTTGTTTAATCCAATACTTTTGGGTATAACTTTGTTATAAAATTAATCAAGAACCTCACTTTTTCTTCTCATGTTGTGTTGATGACTCTGATTATATAATTTTCAGTTTAATTTAATTATTTTCATCGTAAAATTTGTCGAGGATGTCAATCCCATTTATGCTAACAACTGATTTTGATATCCCAATAAGTTGTTACTAGTTCAAAGCACCTTTACAAGTAGTGCATCTCTTCTAAGAAGAGGATGGGTGTGTCGGTATTATCTAATTAATATTTACATTTTCTCTTACATTTGTGAAATGATTATACTCAGGTGTTCAACCTCCACAGATCACCATACTTCTGGGACCGGCCAAATGAGTTCGAGCCAGAGAGATTTTTAGCTCCAAAGCCAAGCGAAGGCATTGCAGGATGGGCAGGCTATGATCCCGGTCGTAGTCCTGGAGCCATGTATCCGAATGAGGTTCCTCTCGACGATTCCTAATGTAAAATTATCCGTAGATCATGCCTCGCTGCTTGACCCTCTTTAACTTATTCCTTGTGTGTTTCCAATTTTTAGATAACCTCTGACTTCGCCTTCATCCCATTTGGTGGCGGGCCGCGCAAGTGTGTCGGCGATCAGTTTGCACTGTTGGAATCCACCATAGCATTGGCTCTGTTGCTACAGAAGTTTGATGTGCTGCTGAGGGGGTCACCTGATGAAGTCGAGTTGGTCACTGGTGCAACCATCCATACCAAAAATGGTCTCTGGTGCAAGCTGAAGAAAAGGACATGAACAGAAGGTAAGTTTAGACAAAGAAATTTAAGGGAATTTTGAGGAATGCTTTATATAATCTGTATAGATATTATGTGATGTCGTATGTTCTCCAAAAATGATAGACTATTTTACATATTCTGTTTATGGTGATTAACATCTTCTTTAAGTGTGTCATAATAAGCGGGGATTTATGTATATCCTACCAACTGAATGCTATAAATTTTGGACAGTTTATAAGCTTTAAAATTAAACCATTAATGAATCGATTTAGATCAATCAGATTTACAATCGATTCGGTTTTTAATGGCTAAATAAATGATCCTCGATCATTTAGTCATTAAAAAGATATCTACTGCTACTGCTTTTTGTTCTTTCCCACTCGGTCAAGGTTTGACTCCCGTACTTTCGTCATCTGCCACGCCAGCACATGGCTCACGTGTTAACCTCCGACGCATCCGCCGCCTCCGGGCGTCGCCTTCGTAGTTAGCACGCACCGGCTCACAAGACACGACCACGCGATAGAGACGTTGGCATCGGGGCGGCGGAGACGAGGGTGGCTGTGGCAGACGAAACAGTAGCGTGTCAGAGTGCGCAACCTGGGCGATCGAAACATGTGGAGCAGATAGGTGCCTCGCCGCCGGCGTGTCTGTATCATGCATGGGCGAGTGCGATGCGAGCTTCTTCTTTTTGACTTGGGAAAAGCTGGGGTGGGTTCGCGTTCCCGGAACTCGATGCGTCCCCTTCACTTCTGCGTCGTTCAAAACCTGGGACCGATTGCCTTCTCCGCCGCTGGGAACCAAATCGCTGTTCCGTACTTCTGGGTTGGTGAAGACAAGACTGCACCCACGTGGCTCCATCATATCGGTTACCGGGGAAAAATCGACGGCCATCGTTGCATCATCTTCAGCCTCCGTCCATCCATGCTCCTCTGCTTGTATATATATACGTCCCACCGTGTGGTTCTCTCTCTCCCCCTCTCCTCCCTCTCTCGATGGCACTAAACGACGCCGCCTCCAGCGCAGCCGAGTGGAGCATGTTCGACGGGCGAAGCGTCCAGCGGACGCCGTCCCTCGCCCCGGCCGTGTCCGGCGCTGCGTCAGAGTCGATCGTGGTCACGGCCGCATCGAGCCAGACGTCCGGCGGCGGCACCGCGCGACCAGGTACGGAGGGTCGAGTGGCGCGGCCGCCCCGGCGGCGGCCGAGGCCCTCCCGAAGAGCTCCGGTCACCTTGCTCAACACCAACACCGACAACTTCCGGGCCATGGTGCAGCGGTTCACCGGGTTCCCGTCCGGGCCGGACTCTTCCGGCTACCGTCCCGGTTCAGGCCTCAGCTTCGGCGATCCGCCGATGGCCATGGCGCCGCTGGGCCACTTCCACCATCCTCAGTACGTCGCGCAGCAAAACCAACCTCATCGCCATCGTTATCATCAACAACAGCAGCAATATCAGTATCAGGAGTCGACGACGACTGGTGGACTCGACAGGAGGGGCAACAGCAGCCACAACGATGCGTTTCCTCTTCAGGGGCTTCACGACTCCAGCGCTAGTTTGGAGATGGCTGATGTCTTCTTGTTTGGCGGCACCATAAGGCCGACCTCCACTAACAGTAGGGTTGATGGTTAGTAGTCTTGAGGGATCAGAGAGAAAGAGAGGGAGGCATTCATGCACGCATGTAAGTACAGTTTCCATCACGTTTCGCTCTCTCTCCCGAATGGACAATGGAAACGCATCAACTACGTTTGCTTTGACCGCATGCGTCGATCAAAATCTTTGTTCAGAACAGTGAACACTCCATTAACACAAAACCTTCTTCTTCTTCTTCTTCTTCTTCATGGATTATCATCATCAAACTGGATGAACTGTGTCACTGAATTGAACATGTTTCAATCCAAGAATTGAATATGGTGTCTCCCTTGATGAAGCGTAGAAGGCGAACTGTTTGAGGAGGAGGATGACATTGGCAGTAATGCCTTCTTTCTTTAGGCCACTTGGTAATCAAGCAATCCATTATTGGTGAAGGATTAGTCAATTCAAACTCAGCACCTACATATAATCAAATGAGTCTCTCTCAATCAAAAACAGTGACTCCCATCCTATCTATATTATCATATAATTTCAACCTCATGTGCATGTAAATTGTATTTTAATCCAAAAGTTTCATTCTCTCTCTCTCTCTCTCTCTCTCTCTCTCTCTCTCTCTCTCTCTCTTCCTTGTATTATGGACAAACAATTTTCCATGAAGATGAATTTGCAGCAAGAAGGAGAGAAAGATCTGATCCTTATATCTCTAGAACGATCATTAAGTCATGAATGATGTCAGACATGAAAGAGATAAAAGAGGAACTTCAACCTATTCCTCTAATTTATCATTTAATGAATTCAAAGCCACTGTGCTTGTGTTTGAATTGACTGCTCCAGTCAATGACCTTCAGATACAGCACGTATTAACGAATCATGGTGTAATTAATTGGCAGACAGGCTTAGTTAGAGCATACACATACCAATCCCATTGCACCATGGACCATTGGTCAAGCAAAACCTCGGACCCAAAACCATGGACAGCAATCCTAGATTTGGTTGGGTCCTTGACTTTTTAACTTTTCATTAGGGGAAACAAGTCAAACTCTAGATAGGTTGTGAGGCATGGTTTCTATCTATCTCTTTGTTGAAATGTCAATTTATGACTCTTAGAAGGGTCCTCAAATTTTGGTTAATCAATCTTTTTATCTTTCTGATAATGCAATTTGAGCATCATTTTCTGATGGAGATCCATATCATGCACTTCTTTTCCATGAAAAAGGCGATCATAAGATGGCCACATGAGGCCGGGAAGCATGCGTGCATGCAACAAACACTGTTTGAGACCCTTCCATGTTCTTGCTCTTGAGCAGATGAGGATCAGCACCGAACCTTTTCCTTCAGAGGTAGACATAGCTGACCCACCTTTCCTGAAGTCACGCTTGGGAGATCGACTGTAGTGATCAGCATGTACAGAGGCTTATATCTTGAGAAGATAGATGATAAGAAGTCTTCTTGTATGGTTTCTGATGCATTGGAAAGAGATACACAGTTACTTGTCATTGATGTGTCTGCAAGAGGTGTGATGGCATCTACTGGGAGAAGATGATGAGAAATCTTCTTGTTTTCCTGTTCAGGTTCAGCAGTGAGTCATATGGATTCTGATGCATTGGAAAGAGTTGCATAGATACTTTTCCTTGATGTGTTTGCAAGAGGTGTGATGGCATCTACTGGGAGAAGATGATGAGAAATCTTCTTGTTTTCCTGTTCAGGTTCAGCAGTGAGTCATATGGATTCTGATGAGAAGACTGTGTGATTTGCTGGAAAGACTGTAGTGTTGTGTTGCGAGAGCAGTGATGGGATCCACTGGAGAAGCACTCGATGACCTGTTGGCCATTGTGGTCTTTGAGAAGCTTCATTCATTGGTTCCCGATGGCATTAATCATGAGAATGAGATCATGTTTGGGAAGATGGACTGCACACTGAGGTCTACTTGTCCTCTGTCGTCACTGCAGGTCGTGTACTCTTGTGTTCCACCTACGACTTGTGTCTCTGTGTCTCTCTTATCTTCTTCTTTTCCTGAACGCTTCGTAGGTCGAATGAATCGATGATATGGATGAAGAGAGATAGAGAGAGAGAAGAAGGCAACTTTCGCTTGGATGCTACCACCGGCCTAATTATAAGCTTCATGATTCACTGCAGTGAAGGAAATTGACAGGAGGACGTGTAAAGAAGCGTTCAAATCAAGCAATACATGCCATGAAGAAGGATCAGTTCGTCCCACAGAGCTCAAGACGTCTAAGAGTCTTCTTCATCAATGGAGGACCCTCAACTCTGCTGCTGCAGCAGTGTCAGCATTGGTTGCACAGTGCCCTCATGGATGGATGATGGCTGATACCGAGAGATCCACTGAGAAAAGGTGTTCCCAAGTCTTCGTTTAAAGTTCCCAATAATTGGCACCTCCTTCCTCAGACACAGTGAACACACACCCCACCAAACATGGACAGAACCCCAACTGAGCCGGTGGCCACCACTTCCGTTCATCGTCCTTCCTCCTCCTCTTCACCACCCGGTCTTCTCTTGTCATGTGCTTTTTTGCCTGAGGATTGGGAAAAGCTTGCAAACATGACTCCTCCACTCCATTAGGGATTAAGAGATCATTTCTCTTTCATTACCATGTTTCTATAGAAAAGCTTGCATCAGACACCCTATGAGGATGTGTTCCTGATGCAGTTGGCCTTGTCCACCCCCTGCCATCAGCTCGAAACCTACTTTGGAAAGGAAGCAGAGAAAAAGACCTCACCATGGGCTAAGAACTTGGATTGCTCAAATCCGATGCTGCTAAAAGTTGGCATATTGAGATGTGGTCAAATGCATGCATTATCGAGGCCCTACGTTTTCTGCAAGTATCTCATTCATGGCATAGCTAAAAGTGGAGCTTATGCTGCCGTGAGTTGCAGTGTCCAGGAATCCCTTCCACTTTAAAGCTGGTGAAAGATGGGAGTTTGTGCCGCTAAGGTCATACATCTAAGCTTGCGTTAGATTAAGTATCATGACAACATTATGTCAACACCAACAGGACAAAAAGCACCCTTTCTCTTAGCTAAAAGCAACACAGTTTAGCTTACCCCTTCTTTTTGGTCCCATCAAGCACCTAAGATGAGCTCATCATCATCACCTTTCCCGAGCACCATTGCCTTCTTATTCCCCCTGCAAGCATTACCTCCTCATTTATGTGGCTTGACTGAGCAATCACCCCACCTTACAGCTGCAGCACATCTCTCTCTCTCTCTCTCTCTCGGTGCCATGAAAGCTACGAATGCTCTGCTGCTGCTCTTCTCCTTCCTCCTACTCCTCCCCCTCCAAGCTCTCGGTGACTGCGAGTGCACTCGAGATGTGGAAAGCCGCAACGCGACGAAGGCGCTACGGCTAAAGTTCGTCGCCATCGCTTCCATCCTAACCGCGGGCGCCGTCGGGGTGCTCATTCCCATCCTGGGGAGATCTGTCTCGGCTCTGCAGCCTGAGCACGACATGTTCTTCGTGATCAAGGCGTTCGCCGCGGGAGTCATACTCGCGACGGGGCTGATTCACATCCTCCCCGCAGCATTCCAGAGCTTGACGTCGCCGTGCCTGGCCGAGCACCCCTGGCACACGTTACCTGTCACGGGGTTCGTGGTCATGTCGTCTGCAATGTGGACGATGATGATTGATTCCTTCGCCACCAGCTACTACAAGAGGTCTCACTTCAGCAAGGCGCGGCCGGTCGAGGAGGATGAGGAGCACGGGCAGGAGGGGCATGTTCACGTCCACACGCATCCCTCCCATGGACATGCCCATGGCTCCACGGCAGCGGCGGCCGAGGAAGCCTCGGTTTCCGAGAGGATCCGCCACCAAGTCATCTCTCAAGTGAGCATCGAATCAAGCAGAGGAATCATCTGGTGCTTGGCACTGTGTTCGTCAATGGAGATGCGTTTTATGTGTGCAGGTGCTGGAGCTGGGAATCCTGGTCCATTCGGTCATCGTTGGGATCTCTCTGGGTGCTTCACAGAGGCCCTCCACCATTAGGCCTCTGGTAGGAGCCTTGAGCTTCCATCAATTCTTCGAAGGGATCGGACTCGGTGGATGCATCGTTCAGGTACACCCATCCTCAATCTGCTCCACGAACGAGCATGGACCGACACCACCACCACCACCATCACCATCATGTTCTTGTGGCGTTGCAGGCAGGCTTCAGAGCCAAGTCAACGGTGGTCATGGCGGTCTTCTTCTCCCTCACGGCGCCCGTCGGCATCGCGTTGGGCATCGCGATATCCTCAGTGTACGACGACGCCAGCTCGACGGCTCTCATCGTCGAGGGGGTCTTCAATGCCGCCTCCGCTGGCATCCTCGTCTACATGGCGCTCGTGGATCTACTGGCGGCAGACTTCACCAACCCCAGGATGCAGAGCAATGGGCGGCTGCAACTTGGAGCACACCTCGCCCTTCTTCTCGGCGCAGGTTTGATGTCCTTGATCGCCATATGGGCATAGAACAGGATCTCTCCCTCCTATGCTGTGACGACAAGGATTTGATGGCGGCTGCTCTGCGCGATTGGAGTCGTGAGCAGTCAAAATAAGTCGTCTAGCCTTGTCAAAGTCAAAGGGAAAGACCGTAGTGTAGAGTTAGTCAAGGATGTCAGAATGCTGATTAATCAGATTTTGATGGTTTTGCATGGCATTAGCATT